TGGTCAATGACATGAGACAAAGTATATTTGAACTGCTGTATGGAAAGTGAATTTGCTCTGTGAATCTTCACCCAAATCACAAAAACAAAAAACAAACAAAGAAAAAAAGAATGGCTTTGGTCAGGTTGTCAGAATGAACCATTCCCAGGAGAAGGATGTCATGCTTGGTAAAGTGGAGGGTCAGCAAAAAAGGGTAAGGCCCTCAACAAAATGGATTGACACAGTGGCTGCAACAATGGGCTCAGGTATAGCAAGGACTGTGAGGATGACGCACAACCAGACAGTGTTTTGTTCTGTTGTACATAGGGTCACTGTGAGTCGGAGCCAACTCAATGGCACCTAACAAGAAGAAGAACACTTGATATTTAGTTTGTTTGGATAATATTTTAATAAAACTAATTTTGGGACATATATTTTCCTTTCAGGGGTAAAGTTGCTCTACCAAATAGTGATCATAACAACTGATCTGTTTTGGATGTTGCTATAGTGACATGCAGTTATATATTTTGTTTTTAAAAAGGGGGGATAAAGAAAAAGAAGCACCAGTTTAGCATAATCTTAATGTCTGCTGTTTGTCATAGTGAAATTGTAACTCTTGTTGTGTAGGAGAAAAGTGAGTGTGTTCTCTGAACGAGCCTTTGTGCTTCTTGTCATGTTACGCAGTGAACTCTTTTTAAGGTTTAATCAGTGGTTATTTTCCCAACTCCATGTTTCTCTAAGGAATTATTTCACACATGGACCTTTCTTAGCTGTTTTCTTCAGTGATGGAGTATCATGAATGTGAGTCATTATGTAGCTGGCATACATTAAGCAAATCAACTTACAGATCTGGAAAAAAAAATGGTGCCCATTAAGCCTACTGCCCATGTAGCCAACCCATTAATTGGTGTTGCAGGGCCTGAGTGGAAAGGAAAAAGAGGGAATTTTGGGGGGAGTTCTATACCTGCACTATTTGCTAGCCACTAGTCTCATGAGTCATTTAAATTTAAATTATTTAAAATTAAATGAAAGGAAAATTTTAGTTTCTCAGTTGCAGGAGCCACATTTCAAGCTCTCAAAAGTCACACATGGCTAGGAGCTACCATATTGGACAGATAATTTCCATCACTGCAGAAAATTCTGTTGGATTGCATGAATCTACATCCTGGCTGGGGTGTATGGGTTACACAGTTGAATGCATTGTCAAAACTCATGAACTGGCAAAGTATTTCATTTATAAACTTTACCTTTAAAAATAATGAATGCAGTTAACACTACACAGGTGAAGTGTATTGATATTTCCAACTTACTTTGAAATGTATCAAAGAATAGGAGGCATGTATAGATGCACTGATGTGTGTTAAAGCAAATAGAGCAATATGTTAACTATGGAATCCAGGTAGTAGGCATGTTTATTCCACCGTACAGTTTTTTCAACTTTTCTGTATTTTTGAAAAATTTCATTAAAATAATGGAGAATAACACATTGAGCACTTAGAGAGTGAATACTGGGTTGGAGGAGCACTGTGTGTGTGTGTGTGGGGGGGGTCAGAGAATAATCTGAAAGGTTTACTGCAGGAATTACATTAATTTGTTCATGATGCAGGGATGAACTATTTGATCCCTGCCCTTTATTCTAGGTAATGCCAAGGGAAAGTAAACAGTTGTTTCTGGATGTTGAGGACCTACTGTGTGCCTGGGTTGGGGCATGGATCAGTGTGATCCCACTGCCCACATAACTCAGTGCAGTGTGTAAGGCATTTGACTGCTAACCAGAAGGCTGGCGGTTCAAATCCATCAGCCACTCCTCGGAAGGAAGACTGGGCAATCTACTTCTGTAGAGATACTACCTTAGAAACCCAAGGAGGGGTTGCTATGAGTCGAAATTGACTCTACGGCAGGTTTTTTTTTGTGTGTGTGTGTGTGTGTGTGTGCCACACTGCCTCCCTACTGTCCCCTGCCCATCTCTCTGACTTCATTTTGTATTTACCCTTCCTTCATACTTCCAGGAAGATCCAAAACTGTCAGCTCTAAGAGGATGGGCACTTTGTTTGCCACTTAATATCCATTGCCAAACACATAGGGGGCACTCATTCAGTATTGGCCATAGAAATACATGAATGAACATTTTGGTCTTATTGGCATTCTCTCAGTCTTGAGCACTCACTCCATGCCTCATGGCCTTTGAATTCACTGCTCTTGCTCTCCAGGACCACCAGTCTCCTGGGTTTTCCCACTGCCAGTTGTTTCTAATCAGTAAGGGCTCTACCTGAGTGTCTGCTCCTCCAGAGGCCTTCCTTAACCACGCAATCCAAACACACCCTGTCCATGTGGTTGTTAGTTGCTGTCCAATTGACTCTGACCCATGGAGACCCTACAAACAAAAAGTTGCCAAGTCTTGCACCATCTTCATGATAAACATGATCAATAAATAATTTTTTGATATGCTTATTTGAAAATCACCAGTTTTATTAAAGCTCTGTGATGTTCTGCCAATATCAACCTCTTCACAGACATTCGCCATCCAGCAGAGACCCTCAACATGGATGTCGTCCTGCTTTGGTCCCTTTATACTATTGTCACTGTATTTATGTTGCATATTTTGTAGGTTTGTTTGCTTTAGCCTGGCTGCTTCTCCAAAATAAAAGTTCCAAGACAGTGGGAACTTCGTCTATTTGCTTACCACAGTATCCCCAAGTCCAGAGTCCAAGACAGTGGGCACTCTATCGTCGCTTGAAAGACACAGGTGCACTCAGTTGGGCACACCGCTGTTCTACACCCTACTGTTGCAGTGGGCGGAAGGGGGCATCTCAAGGCCCAGGAGAAAAAGTGAAGAAGGGATAGCCCTGGAAGGCGCTCAGGCGGTTCCTGAGGCCCCGCCTTCCAGGGCCGCCTCCGCGGGGCACCTGTCCTTTTAAGCGCGTGCCCGGCCACCCGCACTGCCGTGGGCGGATGCGCGCGCCGCAGCCTCGCTCTTGGGCCGGGCCTGCGCGCTCGTCCCCGGCCGCCGCGCGCCAGCCGGTGGGCTTCTTTTCAGATGTGCGATGGCCGTGGGTTGGACCCTGGCGCCTGTAGCGGGCGCCTACGCGGGACTATGATCCGGCTGGGGGGCAAGTGTCTGCGGCGGCCCCGGGGGGCCCCGACTGGGCGTCTGGAGGCGTCTGGTGGGGTGGGCGGCCGCCCCCTGCGAGTGCTGGTGGACATGGATGGTGTACTGGCCGACTTCGAGGGTGGTTTCCTCAGAAAGTTCCGCGCGCGCTACCCCGACCAACCTTTCATCACGTTGGAGGACCGGCGCGGCTTCTGGCTGTCGGAGCAGTACGGCCGGCTGCGGCCAGAGCTGAGCGTGAGCACCCTGGCTGCGCCCTGGGAGCCGGGCGGGGGCTGGAAAATCGAGACCCCCGGGAGCCTGGCGGGGAACCGAGGCCCCCAGGAGCCCGGGAAGGGGTGGATTGAGACCCTGGGAGCCAGGACGGAGAGATTGAGGCCCCAGGGGCCTGGCGAAGTGACTGAGACCCCTGGCGGGGAGACTGAGGCCCCAGGAGACGAGGCCCCACCAGGTGACCTTGGGTGACCCCGCACCCGCTGAGCTTGGGTCTCATTTACCATAGGGTCCTGCTGAGGCCCAAGCGCATTGCCACTCAGCCCCAATACAGTGACCTTCCTGAGGGCTTTTACAAATGCTCCCAAACCAAAACCCATGACCATGGAAATGATTCCCACTAATAGGGACCTTATAAAACAGAGTAGAACTGTCCCATAGGGTTTCCAAGGCTGTCAGTCTTAGGGAAGCAGACTCACATCTTTCTTGTGCAGAGTGGCTAGTGGGTTTGAACCACCAACCTTGCACTTAACAGCCCAACGCTTAACCAGTGCCAGACCATGGCTTCTCTTTACAAATACAGGAAAGTACAAAACATAACCCAACTCTCCATCTACACTGACATTTTAATTGTCATGGTTTTGTTATATAAGTAATGCAGTAAATGTTAAAAGTAAAGCCCTCTTTTACATCTACCAGAGTCATTGCCCCCTTTCTTCCTTCCAAGCATTGGATGGATATTTTTATCTTTCTTTTTTGTCCTTTTCTGTGAAAGTATGGCCTCCAGAAGTATTTGACACCCCGAGAGCTTGAGTGACTTGATGTATATCACATAAAGAGAATGGGCATCCCTGGATGCCAGATGATTGATGATGATGATGATATTAGAGCCTATTTTGTGACCACAGGTTCACTGCATTATCTGTTCTGTGTGGTAGACATTATGATCTCCATTTTGCAGATGAGGAAACTGAGGCTTGGAGAAAGTAACTAACTTGCCCAAAGTCACACAGATAGTAAGGAGCTCAGCCAAATTCAAACCAGATTTCTCATACACGTTGTCATTCCCCATCCTGAAGTCTTGTTCTCTGGCCCTGCTGCCTCTAACAAGTGACATTTCTTATCACTTAAAAAGTGCACCTTGAACAATGACGCCTATAATATTTGAGGGACAGGTATTAGAAAGGAAATTGAATGCCATTTCTCTTCAAGAACACTAGACACTTCAGGAGGTGACTTTCATGGAGTCCAGCATTCTGACTGCTCCTAGTCCTGATACCTAATTAAACACTTTATACAGGAGAAAATGCTCTGGTAATGTCTACAGCCTCAGTGATAGACTTCACTGCCCTGTGTGTGAGTGTTCATTTATAGGCAGTGAACAACATTGGAGGGTAGCCTCTTATTTCCTCCCAATAGTGTATTATGTGATGTGACTAAGCCCATTCCTAACTCTGAGAAGCACAGTGGCTTTTTCAGTTCTTTGACAGATGGACAGATTCCAGGTTTTAGGCAGTGGATTCCCACTCTCTGAGTACAAGGCAAAGGATCACAGCTTGTGGGGCAGTAAGGAGGGAGCTTGGGGAATGATCACTGATTTCTTCTGCTTCTGGAACGTATCAAAAAAACCAAAAACTACATCTGTTGCCATCAAGTTGATTCCTGCTCAGCGACTCTATAGGACAGAGTAGAACTGCCCACTGGGTTTCTATGGAGCTGCTGGTGAGTTCAAACCACTGACCTTTCAGTTAGCAGCTAAGTGCTTTAGACTTAGGGGGTGAAGCATCTTGATAGCACTATAGCAGCATTGTAGGAAAGTTTAGGGAGATGAAGAGATACAGCTCACATCCTCCCAAGTCACAGATGCACAGCACAGCCCACGGCAAGAAGTCCCTGAGTCTTGTTTGAATTGGCCTAGTATCTGAGTTAAAAACAGTAACCAAAACAAAAGCCCAAAAGCCCAGCAGCTTATGTATGTTGGCATTTCTACTTTACAAAGTACTGCACTATCTGTGTTCCCTTTGATCTTCACAGTGCTCTGGAAGATAAGCAAGGCAGATATGGAAAGCAGAGCTCTTTTTAACTAACGTAGAATTTTAAACTGTTAGGACAGTTGATGAAACACCCAGGAGAGGGGATATATCTTGCCCAGGGTTTCAGAGCAACTTAGTGGCAGGTAGGGACTAGAACAAGGGAAGGAAGCGAGGCTGAGATGCTGACATTATGTACTGGGCTTAGTGCTAGGTGCTTTACTTATGGTAATGTATAGCCAACTCTTAACAACCATGGAAGGAAGGTACAGACTCCTGTCTTCACTTTACAGTTAAAGAGAATGAGGCTCATTGAAGTATGGCACTTAACCCAGTTGCACCCAGCAGAGGCCAGGACTTTCTGTCTCATGAGTGTGCTCTTCACCACCTCTGTTTGAGTTGGAGGTCTGAAAAAAATCTGTGAGCTGTTTCTTATTTATAAACTGGGGACTGCAATCTTTGCTCTTTGTGGGTTGTGCAGGTCAAATGAGAGAGAACATATATTGGGGATGAGTATTCATTTGCTTACCACTTTGTAGCTAATAAGAGCATTGCCAGCTATGATCTCCAAGTTGCTCTACCCTGTATATGCACTATGCTGGGGGTTGGTTTTTAGTTACTTAGAGCTGCTGTAACAGAAATACCACAAGTGGGTGACTTTAACAGACAAATTTATTCTTGCAGTTAAGGAGGCTAGAAGTCTTAATTCAGGGTGCTGATTCTAAGGGAAGGCTTTTTGTCTCTGTTGGCTCTAGAGACAGATCCTTGTCTCCTTTCAACATCTTTGTTGCGTGTTTCTTGGAGATCTCCATGTGTCTTGGCATCAGTCATTCCCTGGGTCTAGGAGGTTCCCTGTGTAGGCACCCTGGGTCATCCAAAGGACTCACTCCATTCCTGGCTCTTCTTTCTTGGTGGTAGTAGGTCCCTGTGATGTCTGTTCACTTCTTTAATCCCTTTTATGTTTCAAAAGAGGTTGACTCAAAAAACAATGTAATCTTGTAGATTGCATCCTGCCTGGTTAACACAACTGCCTCTAATCCTGCTCATTAGCATCATAGAGGTGAGGATTTATAACACATAACCAACAACCCAAACCCACTGTCCTCGAATCTGTTCCAACTCATACCAACCTTATAAGGCTGAGTAGAACTGCCCCATAGGCTTTTTAAGGCTGTAAATCTTTACAGAAATAGATTGCCTTATCTTTCTCCTATGGAGCGATGGTGGGTTCGAACTACTGACCTTTTGTTTCACAGCCAAGTGCTTTAACCACTGTGCTACTACAGCACCCTTATAACACATAGGATAATTATATCCCATGACAAAATGGAGGATAATTACATAATACTGAGAATCATGGCCCAGCTAAGTTGACACATTTTTGGTAGACACAATTCAATCCATAACAGGTCAGTTGTTCTTGCATGTGTACTGGCAAAGGCACTTTGGGGATTGAAATTTCTACTTCCCAGAAGCTGAGATTTATCTCCCCTCTTGCTACTACTTTCTCCATATCCTGGCCCTAGAAAGGTATGACATTCTGAAAACCTGATCCATCAAAATAAGATGGGAGTTGGGACATGTGGGCTCTACTCCCAGCTTGACCACTGTCTTGCTGTGTGTGATATTAGGTAAGTTCCTTTCTCATTCTTAGTCATGGTTTTCTTATAAAACAAGAGTCTGCATTTTTGGCTTCCAGATTTTAAAAGCAACAGAATCCTTTTTTAAAAAAATTACTTACTGGCACCCAGTGCACAAACAGTAAAGCAGAGCTGTTCTTGTTGATAGGAGTTGAGGAGCCTAGAGCTCTGCCCAGTGGCTTTCTCCTCCCCTCTGGGCCACCATACCCCTATCTATGCATTCCTCCAGCTCTAAAATTGTAAGACTCTACTGCCATGGTCAGTCTTCATGGTATACTGGGCTATGAGAATTGGGCCTAGGAAGCACATGGTTCCTGTTGATGTCCCTCATCCAGCGATGGCCCGGTGACACACTGTACATCTCCAAGAGCTACAAGGAAGCTATGGGGGATGTCAGATAATTGTATCAGGGGAGTTCACATCTCCTTACTCTTTAGCTGTTTTCCCTTTGCTGTATCCCTACAGAATGAAAGTCCATCCTGGAGAGGGGATTGTATGCACACAGACTCATGCAACCCCCTTCCTGTCCCTGTAGGAAACATATCCTTGGGGGTGTGTGAGCGAGTGAGGGGGAATGTGGAAGCCCCACCCTCTCTGCTGCTGCTGCTGCCAGCCTTGCTATCCTCTTTGAGGAGAGGGCAATGTGCTGCTGAGAATCCTGGAAGTAACCTGCTACTCTCACCTCCCCAGGAGAAGGCCGTCAGCATATGGGAGTCGAAGAATTTCTTTTTTGAACTTGAGCCTCTGCCAGGGGCTGTGGAAGCCGTTAAACAAATGGCCAACCTAGAAAAGTAAGTTTGTATTCCTACCCCAGTTGGACCACAAATCCTTGGGATCTTTGGCTGTGTTTACACCTTCTTCCTGCCATTACCTTTCCTCCTTTCCCTCCTCTTTTCTTCCTTTTCTCTCCTACGCCTCTGCATAGAGCCTGCTTGTCCCACTGTCACTGGACCAAGCTAAAGCTTAAATGGAGAAAACACGCTCAGTGTATAGGCTATTAAGATGCTTTAATCCACTAACTTGAGAAAATATCTAATTACTTTGATGTGGTTTGCTTAGTATTCATTTGTTCAACAAATGAAAATGAAAATGAAATGAAAAGTGTTTAAGAACTGATTCTGATAGAATACTGCTAGGCACTGGTGATATGGAAATGAGCATAATCTGGTCCTTGCCCTCATCTAGCTTACATGTCAGTAAGATAGCAGACATTCAAACAAAGGATAGTGTAAGTGAGTATGATTACAAATTGAGGTAAGTGCTGAAAAAAAAGACAAGGTGTATGAACAGGTATAATGACAGACCTAATTGAGAAATTGGAATTTAGAAAGGAGGAAGGGTATTGTTTGAGATATTTTTGTTTTGTTGTTATGAAATGAGTGGTGCTATAGACTGAAGCCCCTACTCACAGTAACCATTACATACTGTCTTCTAATCTCCTTTAATACTTTCAGATGTATTTCCTGATAACTTTTGGTTAACAGTTTTACTGTTCTTGTTAGGTGCTGTCAAGTCATCTCTGACTCATAGCGACCCTATGTACAACAGAACAAAACACTGCCCAGTCCTGTGCCAGCCCCATGATCCTTGCTATACCTGAGCCCATTGCTGTAGTCACTGTGTCAATCCATCTTGTTGAGGGCCTTCCCCTTTTTCATTGACCCTGCACTTTACCAAGTATGATATCCTTCTCCAGGGAATGGTCCCTTCTGACAACATGACCAAAGTAGGTGAGATGAAGTCTGGTCATTTCTTGCTTCCAAGGAGCATTCCAGCTGCACTTCTTCCAGAAAGATTTGTTAGTTCTTTTAGAAGTCCATGGTACTTTCAGTGTTCTTCACCAACACCACAGCTCAAAAACATCGACTCTTCTTAGGTCTTCCTTGTTCGTTGTCCCGCTCTCATGTGTGTGTGAGGCGATTGAAAATACCATGGCTTGGGTTAGGTGCACCTTAGACTTCAAGGAGATATCTTTGCTCTTTAGTACTTGAAAGAGATTTTTTGCAACAGATTTGCCCAATACAATACGCCATCTGATGTCTTGACTGCTGCTTCAGTTTTATTGGGGTCTACCTTAAATTTCATCCATTTAAAGCATACGATCTAGTGATTTGTTAGTGTATTCATAAAGTTGTGCAACCATCACCACATTCAATTTCAGAACATTTTCATGACCTTCAAAGAAATCTTGTACCCATTAGCAATCACTCCCTGTTTCTGCCACCCCTCTGCAACTCTATCTATATTTATTCTGTCTTTGTAGATTTTCATGATTTGTCTCTATAGACAAACTTTTGTGTGGATGCATAGACATACAGTATGTATTCTTTTTGACTGGCTTCTTTCACTTAGCATGATATTTTTGAGATGCATTATTGTAGCATATATCAGTACTTTATTCATTGTTATGGTTAAATATTCTATTTTATGGATAGGCCAATTTTATTCATTTATTGGTTGATAGATATTAGGTTATTTCCACTTTTTGGCTTTTATGAATAATGATGCTGTGAGCATTCATGTATAAACTTTTGTGTGGATGCATGTTTTCATTTGTCTTGGGTAGATACCCTATGGTCATTGTAACTCTATGTTAAACATTTTAAGCAATTATCAAAACTGTTTTCCAAAGTACCATCTTACATTCCCATTTGCAGTATATGAGGATTTCAGTTTTCTGCATCCTCATCAACATTTGTTATTGTCTAACATTTTTATTTTAGGTATGAAAGGAGCTTTGGTGGTACAGTGGTTAAAGCATTAGGCTGCTAAAAGGTCAGTCGTTCAACCTTACCAGCTGCTGTGTGGGAGAAAGATGAGACAGCCTGCTTCTGTAAAGATTTACAGCTTTGGAAACCCTATAGAACATTTCTACACTGTCCTTTAGGGTTGCTATGAGTTGCAATATACTCAGTGGCAGTGGGGTTTTTTTTGTTTGTTTGTTGGTTTAGTGGATGTGAAATGGGTGAGGTTTTGATTTGTATTTTCCTAATGGCTTGTAATATTGAGCATCTTTTCATATATTTACTGGGTCTTTGTATATCTTCTTTATATAAATGTCTATTTAAAATTTTTGTCCATTTTTCAGTTAGTATTTGTCTTTTTTATTGTTGACTTTTAAGAGTTTTTTGTATAGTCAAGATACTAGTCCCTTATCTAATATATGATTTGAAAATATATTCTTTTATACCATGGATTGGATTGTTGTTTCAGTTTTTTGGTGGTGTCCTCTGAAGCACAAACATTTTTAATTTTGATGAGGTCCAATTTATGTATTTTTCAGTCTTGTCACTTATGGCAAGATATGGTGTCATATCTAAGAGAAAATTATCTAACCCAAGGCCATGAAGATTTATCTCTAGGTTTTACATCTAATAAGTCTATGATCCATTTTGAATTAATACTTTTGGCTGGTGTCAGGAAAGGGACCAATGTCATTCTTTTGCTTCTAGCTATCCAGTTGTCCCAGCACCATTTGTTAGACTGTTCTGTCCCCCATTGAATGGAAAATTAAAATCATTTGACCAGAAAAATAAAAGTTTGTTTCTGGACTTGGAGAACTTTCATTGGTCTTGATTTTGCTTAAATTTAGTAATCATCGGAGTGTAGAATCCAACAGAAGATATGATTTGGCCTTTATTGTACCATATAAATGTCACCAAAAATTGTCAATGTTCAGAGTTCTAATGTGATTAGTAGGAATCAGAGAAACACAAAATGCATAGAGTTTAAGTTGTATTGTTGGTTTTGTCTGAACAGTAATTAAAAAAAAATTACTGTGCTTTGGGTGAAAATTTACAGAGCAAATTCATTTTCCATACATATATGTATCCATACATATATATCCATACATATACTTTGTTTCATGACATTGACTACAATTTCCCACAGTGCAACAGCTCTTTTCCCACTTCCTCCCCATAGTTACCTCTTCCCTGTGTCCTTCCCTCCCATGTACTCTTGCCCCCTTAGCTGTCTCCCTGTCTATATGTGTGGGCTTCTATTTGCCCATGATTGATCTCTCCAAAGAGTGTATATACCTAATGTAAATGTTCAGCTCATATGCCTGTCTTTTGTTTGGCTGGAATCCCAGGAGTGGGTTTGATTCCAGATCTGAAAGGCAGCTAGGGGCCATAGTCTCAGGGGTTCCAACAGGCTCTAGCAGACTAGCAAACCTGGTCCCTTTTTTTAAATGATTTTCAGTGTTGTTCCACATTGTTCTCCCACTTTGTCCAGGATCTCCTACATAGATCCCCCTTTGAGTGGTTGACAGTGGTAACTGAGCACTAACTATCTAGTTCTTCTGGTCTCATAGTCATCTAGGCTGAGGACTGCACGGTGTACCGGTCACTTGGACTAATTGTTTCCATGCATCTTTGGTTTTCTTCATTCTTTTGAACAGTAATTTTATCTTTGGATGTGAGTCCAGGTCCTGCAAAGTAGTAGTCTTCATTGCTGAGGCTGGGATATGAGGAGATATATATTTTATGATATTAAAAAATATATGAAGTCATTTAAAATGTGCCAGGCACTGTTATAAGTACTGGAGATATAGTGGCAAATAAGACATCTACAAGCTCAGATCTCAAGGAATTTACAAACCAACCACATAATTTCAGATTGTAATAGCATTGTGAAAGAAATAGACAAGGTAATGTGTTTGAGAGTAAATGGGAAAGGGACTACTCTAGGTAGGGTGGCAAGTTTTCTCTGAGGAGGTAACATTTGACTTTAGATCTGAAGGTTAAGAGTAAACTAGGCCAACAAGAGCCAGGGGAACATCATTCCAGGCAGAGAAAACAGCAAGTTTAAAGACCCTGGTATGGGTAAGGATTTTGCTTATTTGAGTAACTTGTCTCCTTTCTAGAAGACAAGTGTGGCTAAAATTTAGTAGGGGATAGGGAATATGAGAGTAAATGAGATTGAAGAGAGAGTGACATGATCTAATAGAGGTTTTGAAAACATGGATTTGGGGTGAAAAATCTGGATAGACATTCCTATAAAACAGATATACAAATGGCCAATAAGCACATGTAAAAATGCTCAATCTCATTAGTCATGGTTAAGTGTTGTCAGGTTGGTTTCGACTCATAGTGGCTTCATGTATAACAGAGCAAAACACTGTGCCATCCTCACATTTGTCCTGCAAGATCCCCACAGTCATTGCTATGCCTGAGCCTATTGTTTCAGCCACTGTGTCAATCTGTCTCATTGAGGGTCTTTCTCTTTTTTGCTGACCATCCTCTTTACCAAGTATATATCCTTCTCCAGATCCCCCTGATAAGATGTCCAAAGTATGAGAGGTGAAGTCTCTCCATCCTCGTTTCTAAGGATACTTCCTGCAAGACAGATTTATTTGTTCTTCTAGTAGTCCCTGGTACATTCAATAGTCTTTTGCCAGCACCACAATTCAAATGCATCAATTATTCTTCGGTCTTCCTTATTCATTGTCTAGTTTTCACATGCATATGAGGCGATTGAAAAGAACATGCCTTGGGTCAGGGGCACCTTAGTCTTCACAGTGATGTCTTTGCTCTTCAACACTTTGAAAAGATCTTTTGCAGCAGAATTGCCCAATGCAGTACATCATTTGATTTCTTGACTGCTGCTTCCATGGGTGTTAATTGTGGATCCAAGTAAAATGAAATACTTGAAGACTTCAGTCTTTTCTCCATTTATCATGCTATTGCTTATTGGTCCAGTTGTGAGGACTTTTCTTTCTTTATGTTGAGGTATAATCCATACTGAAGATTGTAGTCTTTGATTTTTATCAGTACGCACTGCAAATCTT